TGCTTGATAATCTGTTACGAAATGGGGCACTTGGTAAAATCTGTCGGCCGGGCGGAGGGGTCCTGTGGATAAATTCTGCCGTAGGACCCCTACTGTGGGGCGCCCGGGGCCGAATTATTTCCGTGCAACAATGACCGTTTTCCCCATTACATTTTAAAATATTGATTTAAAAATTGTTCACATTAATATTCATATTGTGATGCGCACTCGTATCGTAGATGAAAATATAGACTACTTTATTCAGTGCATATAAATGAATAATATATGTTCTGAATACTTCCACTTCAGTCCGATAGTAATGATTGTATACAACTGTGTTTTAAAGAATGATATTCATAAATGTGAAAAAACATACTTTGTGGTTTTTCTTGTTCGAAGCTCGTGTTTCGTAATGACTAAATTCTGTACAAGTCTCGGTCAATTATGTAACGGTTTCACAGGGGAACTTTCGGTGAAGCCCATTTAACGTGTAGTTTTCAGGTACGGAGTGGAGAGGCAGTGCGGACTTAGGGAATGACGTGACACTGATCTGCTTATACTACGTCGAAGCAAATACAAAAGAATCAAACTCAAAATGTAGCATGGGAAAAACAACTTCCCCGAAGAACAAGTCAAGTTTATTATCCCACGAGGGGAAATTTAGTTGCAGCTGCAGGTGCTGAAAATATAAACAGTCTTTCATAATACAACATAAAAAACACGGCAGACTTGACAGAGGGATAACAGTGCAGTGCTTCGCGTGGACGTAAAAAATGAGCCAAGTTGCAGGGTATAAAAAGCGCTGGTGCTATCATTTGCGCGTTTTAAGGCTATACTAATTGCAGTACTGTGCAATTACAGTGACAGGGTACACTCTGGTTCAAATAAAATAGTTTAGATTGCATTTCTGAATATTATAATAGGTCTATATTGATGCATTGTTGTGAATTTAACCTGATGCAGTGCAAAATCACATTAACTTTAAAAAATAAAAACAAAACTAAGTCTTGACGTGTATAGTCTTGCTATATTTTGCGCTGGGATTTCGCTCTGAATTAAGTTGGCTTACCATTTTTCCCCTTTTTGCTATATATTTTTGTCCAAAAACACGTATGCTGTGTTTGCAGTTTCAACGGTTTCTTGGACTTTTCTTGAAAGCTACGCTAGAAAAAAAATCCTGAAGCTGCCGGTAAGCCACGAGGAGAAACAGGGCTTCCCTCCTGCCTACGCGGCTTCGGCTGCCTGTCGCAACACTGCTTCTCTTTCCCAGATGATCTTGACACGCTACTTCCATCTTGCCGAAAGCAGTTCTCTCATAGTTTACTTGAATCATCCTGATTGTGCCCGCAAGGAAATCACAGAATGAATGTAACTAGCGATGTTTATTTTTAGCAGTGTTAACTAATTAAGGACTTACAGAAGAAATCCGATGAGTTGTCAACCCCGTCGAAACTGTGTATCGGGGGTTGTGCAAAATTTGAAATTTATTAATTGTGCTCCATTTCATTTCTGAACTGGAATTTTAATTCAAATGGCCACACCCCACAGGATGCTAAATTGGAATTGGAATGACAGGAAGAAATTCATTTCAGTTCAAAGAAATTCAATGCAATCACAAATCACAAGAATGTAATTTAATCTAGTAAAACTTGAATAATTATATAGACAAACATATTAAAATATATATTTAAACTAAGTACTAAAATTAAAAACTGGATTTTTTTAATTCGCCGAGATACACGTGAAGCTGTTTGTTATTATGTAATTGCGTTTTTGATTTCACAGGAAGTTAAAAAACAAAACTAGTCAAATTCAGGAAATATGATAAATAATATTCTGTTTAATGTAGTTTGTGATGAAAAACACATTTAGACATAACGAAAATATCTAGTTTGAGCAAGGACGTACGTCCATTGGCCTATAGAATGAATACAAAAAGCATCAATATTAATAACGTGCATATGTTCATATTACACTTTTTAACGTTGCTTCCGTTATTTTTTTTTTGCTCCTTCTAATTATTTGCACACTTTTCTGTGCGTCGATAACATTGAATTCGTGATATGACTGAAATTTAATCAGAGTCCGATTAATACATATCTGCAGAGAGTTTAAAGAGAGTTTAAACTAAGGACACCCCACAACCCCACAACTTAACACTTTACAATGAAATACAGGATATATTTGGTTATATAATTTCGTCTCAGAAAAACAGATAGTCAATGCATGCGGAGGAGAGAGTTTAAAATTGGGGAGACACAACTTAATTTAAATACAGCGGTCTGCTTATTAGGGGTGGGGGATTAATAAAGGCAAATTAAATATTGGGAGGGGCACGTTTTCCCTAGCTCGCTCCGTCTCTACGGTCCTGGAGATGGTTATGAGATAATGAGGTAACGTTACATACGGCAATACTGTGTATATAAACACAGTGACTTCATCCATTCATAATCCTATCCATACCGGATTGTGGTGTACAGTTATGACGATTTTACTAAAATGATTTAACTTAAAGACGTGTGTAAATAACTGAAAAAATAATAAAACAAAATTATATAAGAAGTGTATCATTTATTGCGACAAAAACTACATATATTTTGATGTGTGATGCAAAAACAAAAACAATTTTTAAAAAGATGTAAAAATGAAAATGTAGAAAATCGGTAAACATGACGTTAAGAACTGACAGTGAAGGTGGCTATCGCATCGGAATCAAAAAATGGGCTGCACTTGTTTGGTAATAATGGATCTTGAAACGGTAGCTTTCAAACCTACAATTTTGATATTTACACGTTCAATTTAAAATTGTAGTACCCAAAAGAAACCACAAGAGGGTAGTGTGAAAACGGATTGCGTTTTTTCTTTTGCAGATGTAGTTCTCTGCTTCTAATACAACATACAACAATATAACCTCCCAACCAACAGAGAGTGGGCTTCACGTTGAGTGAAGTGTTTCTGCGGAGTTCTTAAAAGAAAACCATTTATTAGCACGGAGATTTAAGCAGTAGTCAATTATCAATTACTGATATCATAAATTGAATTTTTCAAAGTGTCTGATATTTTGCTTTCCACTTGAATGGACTTTGCTTTAAATTGACCGAATATTGTCCTCATTGCGCACGCTCCTTCAGTGAATAAGTGTTGTGACGTTAAGATGAGACGCGTGGTGAATTTGTTCCTGATACAGGGCAATAACGCAATAATAATGACTTACGTGATACATAAAAACTCGTAAGCAACGGGACTTCTTTTCAAAAGTGCAAAGAAGTTATATAAAATAAAGTGAACTTTAAAAAGCATTATCTGCTAATACAAGACTTTTAAGACCAACACGGCAGATAAGTATAATGACTCAGGTGACTGTCCTTGTCATCAATACAGCGCATGCTGACAATGACTTCATCAGCGCTGTTTGTTTCTCCGTGCGCAAACAGACTTTATGCAGAGAACATTCATTCTAAGCGGCCTTTGCACAATACCGAATTTTAAATGATTTGTCTGACGGGCGTGACAATTACGCGGCAGGCGCTTACGAAACATTTTTTCCCTCTGTAGTTATTACGTTATTTTTCATTGTGCAGCTATTGTGTTTGTTAATTTATTTGTCCCCAGTTAGTTAAAGGAAATAGACTGCTATGATTCAAAGTAAAATGTCATAATTCCTATGTGTTGTAATGCCCTCATTTTGTATGAAGGGTTTGCTAACTACCTCGCTGATTTCTGTAGGCGCCTTATCTTTCCATATCCCTGTCACTTTAAAAGGTGAATCTTCTCTTCCTAATGAAATAAGCGCGGGCAGAGTAGCTTCGCCCGCAGTAGTTGCGTTATGTGAGTGATGTCCATTGAACTGGGTAGTATCGAGTTGCCTTTTAAGATGCATCAACCCCATTACAGTCAAACATTTGTTATCACCAAGGAGACAAGAAATTACTGCACTTCTGTGGACCTCGGGGTTACCGTCAGCGAGGCTGTTTATTACGCAAGACCAATAAAAGCAACATTCTGCTGACAAGCAAATGTAAATACAGACTAGGAATGGAAACTGAGCACACCCTGTAAGAGCCCTAACTGGTCATTTTTAATCAATACAGATGAGACAATTCTATAAGCATTTTACTTGTCATATATTTATGATATGCAACAAAATATAATTCGTATCATAAAACGTATTATTTTATGTGTTTGATTATGTTTGATGTGCAGTCTGTTAAACATACGTGATACTTAGCAGCATATGTGGCGCTGATAATTTTCAAGAAAGTTGAAAACAACTGAAATCCGATCTCAGGGAGTCGGGGGCGCGGCGTGCTGAAGTGAATCCGCAAGAGACGCCGGGACCAGAGAAGTGCTCAACAAGAAGATAAAACGGCTTGTTTTTCGGAAATATAAGTGTTTGAAACCTGGTACAGATATTCAGCAGTTCCGTTAAAAAGGTCACTTTTAGGTCGGAATTTAAAAATCGGCTCTGTGTAAGTGGTTTAAAAATATAAATGTTTTCATTTACATTGGCAAGTACTGTAGCCTACTTTGATTTTCAGCATTTATCAAATTTATCATAAGCAGTAAGATTGTATCCATATGACCGAACCTAACTTAGCACAAATGCTTGCAGTGTAAATCAACTAGAAAAAAATACAAATAATACGAACGTAACTGGTTCGCACAGCACACTAATTCACCAAAACTGCATAAACACGAAAGTAACGCTTTCTACAGCAAAAGATGGTACGAATAATTACGTTACTCCCCACTTCTGTAACAAAATTTCAATTAGCCTTTTCTTTCATGTAGACCTAATTTGAAATTATGTAACAATGTACACTAGAAATTTCAAAATAAGCACTTCGACAAGGTTGTTTTTTGGTCATCTTTTGCTGAAACAAACGAAGGCTATAAGAACTAGTTTATCGTCTATTTAATTATTTAACTGTTCAAGGGTGTATTTGATTGGTTGAGGTCTGTCTCTAGCTGTTTAACCGACCAATGACAGCGAGAGGTTGTTTGTGTTGCCTTCGCCGAAGCTATAAAGCAGCTGTCGGTGTGGAGATGGGGGAAAAATTGATGCAAAGGATGCAGTGTTAGGCTGCGTTATACAAGAAGCTCATTTTTCAGCAGAAAACGATTTCAAGCCAAAAGCGAGCTGCATCCGGCTGATTTGGTCGACTCATTCGTGGATTTCAGCGAAGCTCAGGTATGACATGTTCTGCATCGTGATATCCTGGGATGCTAGGAAAGGAATTGCATTGAATGGGCAAACAATCCTCCGGTCTCCTTTTTACGCTGCCTCAGGTAACGTTATGTCTCAGAATGCTTTGCCCGTTATGTTTAGGCAATCCAGCTTCAGTAGATTACATCTGAATGTTTTTGACGGAGCGATAAAACGTAAATGTGATTGAACCGTGCCAGCCTATACGAATACTGCGGCAGCATCGCTACTGACGTTCAGTATAACCGTGAAAAGTTACTCACACCATAAACACTGCAGTTATGTCCGCATCCTCAGCATGAATATTATTGGATTCTACTGTGTAATTCAACCCAGCTCAATCTTTCGGTTTCACAACCATTTGATGCATTACAAACCGAATTTAGATGGGATGTTTGTGTTCGGGGTAGCAACTTCATCTCCCGTGTGTAACAAATACTGACGGTCGATAAACAGGAATTTCTAGCTGATGAGTCGATCGTTTGTAAAAGATCTCAATTCATTTGCATTTGTTCTTTATTCAATTTCATGTATAGCCTACCGTGTAAGTGGCACATCATTTATTACAGGCACAAGTTTTCCCTAATGATAATTTCAGCAGTATTTCATTGCACTTCATTTTATCACAAAATCGATATCGTGAAAATGTAATTTGATTTTTGTGAAATTTGCTTGTACCTTGGTTACATTAGAAGGGTTTAAATACGCGCGCGGATAATGATTTGTGTAACATTTTGGCCAGATGCAGGTATACGTAAGTGACATTTTTTCTGATTATATAACGTTGTATGCAGACACGAAGGGGAACTAGTCTGGTGAAAACATAATTGAACTCGTATCCGCAATACGTGAAATAGATGGATGCTGGTTGTGCTCGAAATGCGCCATACGCACCGCTCGTGGGTGCCAAAAACAGCAACGACAAAGAAAATGGCAAATTTAAAACCAGGAAGTGTCATCGCAAATGCGTTTTCGTTTGCATGGTATTCGAGCGCAGAACAGGAATGAAATGCAAAATTATCATTTAAGCGTGACGGGTCAGAATAAGAGGCAACGCAGACTGTGACAGGTTCTGTGGGGCTGGGGTCCGACCTCAGGACGAGGTGTACTGAAGGGGTGGTGATTTAGGTCCAGTTCAGACCAGTTTCAGGAGCTGCTCTTTTCCTCACCATAAATAGAATCGTCCTAGCGCATAAGGGCGAGAAACCGGCTTCGCAAATTATTTAAATACATATACACATATCCTTAATCTTTTACTTTGTCAGAAATGAAAAGTAGGCTACAAGATACGTTTTCAAAATGTACATGGTGACCTTAGTCCAGGACACTGCAGTTTAATTACTGCATGAAATATCGCTGGTCATTTCTGCATTAAACAAATACGTCATTCAGCCGCTACTCATCCACGATAACGGCAACATGAAAAAGAATGGTTGCAGAGAATCTCGCGCCGCACCGGTTCGAACCGGCTGAAACTCGGCCTCACGTGGCACCTTTCCGCAATATTGTTTCGGAGGAGCAAATGGGAGAGGCGCTATAAAAGCGGAGGGCCAATCAGAGCAACATAAGGCGGAGCTAGCGGGGACATGTGGGCGATGTTAGTGAATTACAAACAGGTGAAATTTTCATTCGCCGTCGGTGAGGAACAAAGGAGAGATGTGTGGTCCTCTATGTCATTCTTTTGAAACAAGTTTTAACAACCAAAATTTAATATTTTATATTTTATTGCAACACCGTATAACGTAACAGAAAGACCAGGCCTTAATCAATCTAAATTAAAAAATAAAACGAAAAGTGCTTAAAATACAACAGTAAGTAAATTTAACATAACGATAAGTCAGTTCAGACGGATGTTGAAAGCACACAGCTGTTGATGATGTTTATGAAAGAACCGTATCAGTGTTTATAAGTAAATTCTGACACCCACCTTTGTACCATCCCTAAGTAAATAACGGACATATGAAGAAAGTGATAATCCACCTTCATGCGTGACTGGCGACAAGAGCACCAGCACGTGCCGTCAGTCTGTGAGCATTTCGATGGCACACAGATAAATGTGCGTGTAACTGGTGATAAGGCACACTCTAACAGCTGCCAGCCATATTGAAGGGGGGGGGGCTGGCCATTGACTTGTCAGGGACCATCTGCCAGCAGTTAATGATGCCTCACACCTTTTAAATGTGTCCTCTTTCGTTCATAAGGAGCTCGGTGGACCTGTGCTTTGACGCTTCGTCCCAGCAACACCAGCAGTGACCCGCTGACCCCCCCCCTTTGGCCATGGCTCCCTCGTTGGCCACAGCCTTCTCGCGCCGCTGGTGGATGGCAGTGAGCGCAGTGCTGGAGAACCTGCTCTTCTCTGCCGTCCTGCTGGGCTGGAGCTCCCTGCTCATCATGCTGAAGTCGGAAGGCTTCTACTCCTACCTCTGCCAGGAGCCAGGTGAGGATGTGCAGCCTGTCACCCCAGCTAGTGGCTAAGGGTGGCGGGGGGGTCTGGGCTGGGCAGAAGCTGTGGGGGCAGCTTCTGTGACCTCTGCCAGTGGCCAATTCGCTACTGAGATGGCAAAATCATGTGCAAGCTCAATGTGGTGGATGTACACCTCACTGCCCAGACACTCCAGTGCTACTATGAGGTGACATTTATAGCTGTAGTATACTAGGAACAGTTTATCCAAATAACTTTAGAATAACCTTTGAGCGGTTTAACGTGCTTAGAGAGACGGGTGTCCCGCTTGCTTGTATCATCATTTTGCATAAAATACCAGTGTTCCGGTTTCACTCCTTTCCGCGGGTCATGATGTCATATGTGTTGACAGTCTGCACCAGGCTTTTGTCATTCGATTCCCGTGCCACATTTCAGAAGCAGGTCAAGAACACATTGTGTGGGTAGACGCCACAGGCGGACAGGCGGTGGGGCCTGGCGCCTTTCTCGACAAAGAGCAGCTTTAAGGGGGGGGGGGGGCGTAGTGCCAGCAGATGCTGGATGTGTTACACAACCGTAGCATTTAGTAACAGGAGTTGCAGCTGTAAACAACACGAGAATAAGATGATTAGGCAGCTTGAAAAGGTCAGCGATACTTTCCAGCTCTGAGAAGTAAGAGGATCACAGGCCGGTCTGTGGGAAAAGAAGTTCTGGTGACTCGTATCCTTCCAAAGGTTTCACTTCTACTTCTAGAAGCTCTAGTGGGAGCAGGTGAACAGGCCCATTTCAGCACAAAGGCCGAAATGAGTACGCTGGCCTCACAGAGGGGTGTGATTGTGTGGCACTCATGCAGAAATCTCTGATAGCTCTGTGTGCTAAAAACATCTCAGTTACAGTTAACACATATTCTCAGTTACAGGTAACACGTATTCTCTGTCTATATCAGTGGAAACCATTTGTTGTAGCCCTCTGGGGACCTGACTTTGGGAACAGGAGAGCAGCCAAACGAATCAAACAGGAGCGAAACTTCTCTCTGAATGGAGGACATTATCAGGCGCTTCCTTTCAGGCATGCCTTCGATTTTTATCCCCCGATTTTGACCTGTGATCCATTTGAAGAAACAGCTTTTGTGAGCTGGTCAGCGCCCCTGTGATTCGGGCCATTCCGGGGTATGTTTGGCGAACGAAACGTCGAGAGTCTCACATGCAGAGCAGCATTTGTAGCCCTGGCTGGCCGAGGAGCTTGAGGCCTGTCTTGTGTTGCAAGTGGGCAGGGCGGCGGGTCCGGGACGCTGCCACCGGGCGATGTGGATAATGCCGGGCGTTTCCCCTTCCGTCTGATCTGTGTGATCTGGCTGGTGCTGCAGCTTTACAGTGACCCTGACAGTAATGCCTTTTACTGCAGCTTTACAGTGACCCTGACAGTAATGCCTTTCGCTGCAGCTTTACAGTGACCCTGACAGTAATGCCTTTTACTGCAGCTTTACAGTGACCCTGACAGTAATGCCTTTCGCTGCAGCTTTACAGTGACCCTGACAGTAATGCCTTTTATTGCGTCTCTCTTTGTTATTCTCCCTTTTACTGCCTTTCCTTTCAGCCCATCAGGCTCCCTCGCCTTTTTTATCTCTTATGTCCATAAATTCCATTCTTCTCTGCCAGCCTCCTTCCATGCTGGGCTCCCAGTTCCTCCTGAGCTGCTTTGTCCTCTGTTTACCGCCGGCGGTGTAACTCCGGAGCTGGAGGAGGGCAGAGTCAGGTGCCTGGCTTCGGCCACCCCACCCCCCAGTGCCACCATCTTCCAAAAATTCACATGCACAAACTCTCGGCCCCAGGATAGGATATTCACCCCGTGGCTGTGGAGCAGCGTCACATGATGTCTGAGGGTTGATGTGATGGGATGAGGGGGATGGTAAGCCATGGAGACGATTTCTACACGGTCAGAATATCGTCAGCGGACTTTCTGGAATTTCAGGTTACATCAGACGGGGGGGGGGGAGTGATGAGTTGCAGTCTCTGTCTTGCTTTTGCTGCAGCAGCAGAAGTCAGCATTGCTCGGCTCTCTACATCAACCTCATAGTTTTTATTTTTGTTTCACTTCCTTAAATGGACATGCGGAGAGAAAGAGTGCCATCCGGCACAAGCCGGATTCTGTGGCCACTCGCGGGCCGGGCCGGGTGTTCCACAGGACCCCCCCCCCCGGGGAAGCCACTAATACAGCCTGCATCACCCGCAGGGGCCACTTGCGATTCACCTGCATGGTTATTTTCGTTTGTCTCATAAGCACTTAGTTGTTTGCCCAATGCAAAGCGCAGGTACCGGAGCGCCAAGTAACGCTCAGGGAGCTGCAGGAGCGTTTCCGTGGGTCTTATCTGCACTTTTAAACATCGACCTTACAGGGGGGTTTGCAGTAATGAGTGCTTATCCCTCAGGTTCTGTCATTGACAGCTCAGAAATGATGACCTCATCAGTGCAGTGGCGTGGGGACAGAGGCTGCCTCCATGAACATTATTATAACCAGAATATTACTAATGAATCATAGCTGAGGAATCCTCTCCCTTTCTCTCTGGCTCCCTGCTTATCCCTTCTGACCCCCCCCCATATCTGTCGGGGGAGGGGAGTGTCACACGGCGGGTCCTTTCTGTGCGTCCGCAGTGGTGACGGTCGCAGGAATCGGCGGTGCAAGCGTGGCCGCATTCTGGCACCTCCCCTTCGCCGCCTAGCCACGCTGCAGATGCCATTACTGATTAACATTTTTCACACACACCCCCCCCCCACCTTGCAAATAAAGGGTGACTGTTTCAGTGTGACGTCAGCGTATAAAAATAATGAAAATGCTCTGCCGATGAAATAGTACAGTTTACAATCACTGTCGTCTCCCAGAGCCTCGGAGAACAGGGGCTCATTTTACAGCAGATAATGGGAGATTTAGTTGGTAAAAACCTAACAGCTTGGGAAGTGTTTGTGAATAAGCAGTTCATTGGAAATACTGAGGTGGTGAGGCCCATTAACCAGTAAGTCGCTGGTTATTAATGTCGCCTTGGAAGTTCATTGACTCAGCACAGTGTGTGTCGCCCAGGGCAGTACACATCTAATTCTGCCGCTTGTTTATCTGTCTCAGGCTGTTCATATGACCTTTAACTGTCTCCCAGCTTGAACTGCTTGAGCTTGAGCTGCTGTGCCTCTCAGGGCAGCGGAAGTTACGGGAAGTATGTTTCTGGGAACACCGGGAGATGGCTTTTCAGTGTGTTTCCTCACAGCGGCCTTCGCGGCTAAATCCTCTCTGTGTTTGTTTGGAGATCGTCTTGGGAGAGAAAACAAAATGGAGGTGCTGAGTGCTCGTCAGATGTGTTCAGCCTGACAGCGAGCCGCTGCCCTCTACACTGAAGCAGACTTTTCTCCTGTGTTTTGCATGCTCTGTGAGTTGAGGACCCAGGGTCCTGTTGTGGAGCTGCACACTGCATATCAGTCATTTATCCCTCTGTAATTAGCCTGCGTGCTGAAGCTCACCTGGGTAGGTCCTGCTACATTCTTAGTAGAGCTCTAACGGTGTCGACCCCTCCTCTGCCTGGCCAGGGAACGGCTCAGGGCTGAACCAGTCGCAGGACGAGGTGCCTCAGCGCATGAACAGCTGGCTCATCTGCAAGGAGCAGGACGAGATGCTGAACCTGGCCTTCACCGTCGGCTCCTTCCTGCTCAGCGCCATCACGCTGCCCCTCGGCATCGTCATGGACAAGTACGGCCCGCGCAAGCTGCGGCTGCTCGGCAGGTGAGGGGCGTGGCGGGTGGGGGGGGGGGGG